TTTCAAGACATGCACTGTTATTCGGCAATCATATTGTCACAATAATTACCGCTAGCTTATTGCTTTGAATTTTAATTTTCCAATTCTATTTTGACCACTTTCGTGAATAGTTTTTAAATTTGCTGACTGTTTCGTTGATAATTTTTGTTTTTGAGTACGTTTTCTTTTTGCAGTTGCAGTCTAATCGGGGATGTAGCTCAGATGGTAGAGCGCTCGCTTAGCATGTGAGAGGTACGGGGATCGATGCCCCGCATCTCCAGTAACGACTATTTTATCTAAAATTTTCTATGCAATTAATTAAAAGATTTAATATTTTATATACAATTTGTAGCGGCAAAGAAAATTTTCACTTAATTTTTGGCCTTTTTATAAAAATTTTAAAATTATTTTGTTTGCCACTAATATATAAAGATGTATTTTTTCATATCTGCTTCCAAATTTTTAAAAATCATTTGAAAATATTTTGGGATTCTTCTTAAATTTTAAATTTCCGTTTTGAAAATTTCACCTCATACAGCATATTGAACATTATTGAGGCCTCTTAAAGTTGTAATAATTGGTGCGCGCATTTCAGTTGGGGATGTAGCTCAGATGGTAGAGCGCTCGCTTAGCATGTGAGAGGTACGGGGATCGATGCCCCGCATCTCCAGAAATTATTATTTAAATTTTAATCCTTAAAAACAATATAAATCAGTTTTTCAATAAAAGAATCTCAACCAAAAATGTTGAATTTTCATGATTAAATTAATTATTGAATAATAAATTGGACTATTTTGAAAAATAGTTACAATCAATTAGCAAAAAAAGTGTATTCGTTTTCGCGATACTGAATTTAAAATTCGAACTTAAGAAATAAAACCTTTTATTTTTAATAAATATTAATTAATCAATGAAATATTTAAACATTTTCAAATGAAATTAATGAAACATGGAAAAATTTCTATTTAAGCTTTATTTGATTCTGGTACTAAAATATTAATTTTAAGTTTAGTACTAAAAGTAATAAAATATATTTTTGCTGTTAAAACAACTTTATATTCATTAAATTAATGGGTTTCAAATTACTGTTTTATTTGAATAGCAAAAATGAAATATCCTTACTTTGGACTATGCAGGCTCTGGGAATAAAAAATCACGTGTATTTTTATACTTACGCAATTTTATTTTGCTATAAACTAGTTGTTTAATTTGACTACAGTTGCATAGAAATCCTCCTTATTTCTTGTGATAATAAAAAGTCTTTTGCAATGCTGTCATTTGATCTTATTTTTGTTTAAATTTCGATGTGTTGATCACACAAACCAAAGGTTCCTGTTGTTTTTAGCAACTCATTCAACTCAACATTTTACATCACATCAGACGATATCACATCACACGATACCACATCACAAGACATAATATCACATGATATCACATCACATGACATCACCTCACAGAGATCACACAGTAGTCCTTATCTTCATTACATAAAAATATAAATATTTCATAAAAAAACTATAATAAAAGTTTAAATTTCGTTATTAATTATTTCCAATCTTAATATCACATGTTTCACACTATTTGATCACATCACTCACATCACATCATTAAAATTGGTCCCTCAAGCGGTTTGGTATTTTTGTTTATCACTTACAAAAAATATAAACTATTAAAATCTAAGTGTAAAAAATACAACTATTCCAATTTGATTCATAGGAAATCATAACAACGGACATTCCGAACATTAAGACGACAAATTATTCGCATTGAAAACTATAATTACATTATTTAAACTGAACAATACAAAAATAGCTAACAACGAAATTTTGAGATTTTTAATGTCTGAAATTGTTTGACTAATAATCATTTTAAATACGTAAAGGTTAACAGTTATTCGAAAAATATATATATTTCCTAAATAAATGTCCAAACTCTTCTCGACAATTCTTTTTAAATCTGACTGACCAGAAGTTACAATTTTTTACTATTTTATATATATTTATTATAATTTAATCACAACAACACTTTTGGCCATTTAAATCGATATTGCATACACATATAATACATAGCTGCCGATATGGTTCAATTCAAATTACAAGTGGATAACAATGTGGTTATCCCGGTACACTTGTTATCTTGCCAAAACTCTTGTTGCGACAACGTATTTGCATTAAATTTATTTGCACATGTGAATGCGACATTATAAACACACAGGTATGTGTGCATGTACTTCGTGTGTGTTTGGGATAACATCTTTGAAAACCACTGGCATAATTGGAAAGCCACTTTGTTGCAGTTGTATGTGTATAACATACGTATGTGCTATTTATTGATTTTAATTTGCAATTCGAGTATACTTGTCCAAGGTGGTTAATAGATAGAGAAAAGTAATATAAAAATAAAAGAGTATTGAAGCTGAAGATCTTTGATGATTTCTAATAAAACTATTCCCCCAAATATACCAAATTTTCAATTGTCATACACAGATATCTCACATCACAATAAAACACATCACATCGAATCACATCACACCGCCGTCACATCGGATAAAATTATATAAGTTATCGAACAAAAAAAAAGTTTTGTTGTAATTAAACAACAAAATAAAATCAAACATAGAAATATTATAATACTAGAGATTTCAAAGGATTGAAACTGAAGGGGGTGAAGGCGAAGCAAAGACTTGACTCGATCACACTAATCACCATGTTTTGACTAAGATCGCGGTCTACTATATTTTTTAATAGAACCTGAGGCTAAATAAACAGACCTTAAATCTTTAAAAATTAATAAAATAAAATAAAGAAATTAAAACAAATAAAATTGAAAAAAAAACGAAATAAAACAAAATAACGTAAAAAATAGAAAAAAAAATTCAAAATAAAGTGAAATAAACAAAAATAAAATACAAAAAAATAAAATAAAATGAAATAAACTAAAACAAATACAAAAAAAGAAAACAAACTAAATGAAAGTAAATTAAAAAAAATTAAAATAAAGTAAAATAAAATAAATTAATATAAAGTACAATAAAATAAAATAAAATAAAATAAAATAAATTAAAATAAAATAAAATAAAATAAAATGAACTAAAATAAAATAAAATAAAATAAATTAAAATAAAATAAAATAACATAACATAAAATAAAACAAAATATAATAAAGAATAAAAAACTTTATAAAATAATATAAAAGAATGTAGAACAAAATAATTAAAAAAATAAAATAAATTGAAATAAAAGGAAATAAATAAAATAAAATGAAATAAATTAAAATAAAATAAAATAAAACAAACTAATATAAATAACATAATACAAAATAATATAAAATATAATAAAAGAAAATAGAATAAAATAATTTAAAAGAATTAAATAAAAGAAAAGGAAATAAAATTCAATAAAATGGCAAAAAACAAAATAAACAATATTATATAAATTAAAAGAAAGAGAAATAAAATTAGGTAAAAAATAATTAAAAATTTATATAATAAAATAATTTAAAATGAAATCAAATGTAAAATTTAGTAATACAAAACAAAATAAAATAACACCAATTAAAATCAAACAAAATAAAATAAAATTAAATAAAATAAAATCAAATCATATAAAGTATAATATCAGTACTCATTTAAAAAATGAAAGGAAGTAAAATAAATTAAGAGGCATGAAAAAAAATTAAATTAAAATTAATTAAATAAAGAAAAAAATTAATTGAAATGAAATAAAATAATATAGTTAAAAGTAAAATAAAACAATTAGATTCAAATGAAAATGTAAGTAAAACAAAATAAGAAAAAAAATATGCATAAAGAATTGAAATAAACTGTTTAAAAATATTAAATTGAAAACAACGAAAAAAAAAACATTATTAAAAAAATAATAATAATAACTAAAGATAAGATCATAATCTTAAAACTTAAATTTTTTTTCTTCGAACTAGAGTTTTAAAAGGTTTTTTTTTTATTTTTTTCATAACGTATTTAATTTGCAATCTATTTAAAGTCCAAAGAGCGATGAGCAAATTACATAACGTAATTGCTATTAGACTTATATTATTGATCTCCAGTGAGGTCAACAATAACGAGTTTTAAAGTAATTAAGAAAACATTAAAAAAATTTAATAAAAGTGAAAACTCCAATTTATATCATTAAATCATACACCACAACAATGTCAGACCGCAGATACCATAAAGATGATGAATTTATAAGTAAATTAGTAATAGATGAAAACTTCCAAGCAAATCATGCACAGCAGATAAATGAATACAATGACGGTTGAGTAGCACAAAAGATGTTTCAAGCGAAAGTGCATAAGTGAAAAATGGAAGATGAGAAAATCACTGTAGTTTGTTGAAGAAAATTGTTGAGGAACAGAGGGGAAAAAGAAGATACTACGTTAATAACAAAATGCATTTACATAAAATATGCAATTCCATTGACAGAAAAATGACAGTAAAAAACAGAAGAAACTGAGATGACTGATGCCACCAAAGGTATGCGTAATTGCGTTTTATAAGCGGCTTAAGGATAATGGAAATTATGTAAATGAAAATGAATGTGTAAGTGAGGTCCTATTAAATATTTACTGTAACAATGTCGGAGAGCCCGTAAACAGGGAGCACAAACAAAAAAATTTATATATATATATGTATATATAATAATTAAAGCAAATTCAATAGAGAAAAGTATTTTAATTCCAATTCAATAATAATTAAATTAAAGCAAAATTAAAATGATGTAAGTAGCATAAATATATTAAATAAATACATATTAAATATGAATATGTGTGCATGCACACACCAAGTGGCTGCTTGATGTCAATGAAAATGTTGAGTTAATTGTGTTTGTGGTTTCCATTAATATTTAATAAATTACATGTGCTGGTCTAAAAAAAAGTTAGGTGTTAAAAATAAAATATTTATAGGCATATTTTGTATTGCGTGTAACTGTAAAAACCAATTCATTGCACAGTGCTTAAATAACTTTAAAAATTAAATTTGTCTCAAAATAATTTGTGCTTACCTTTCACTAGCAATGCTTGAATTTCTGGACATCGACTTTGGTGACATCTCAAAATCCGAATCCGAACGGTATAAGAACGATTCGCGACGTTGTGGAAGATTTTGTAATACCAAACCAGCGCTTGGTGAGCCGCCTTCAAGCGGTGATCTAGCACCTTGGCCATTTTCTACATCGAAGCTGTAAAAAAAAAAAAACATAAAAATGTATTAAATTTATGAAGAACCTTATGATTCAAAGCGAAATCATGTTGTTGTTTCAGTGGAGTTTTTTTTTGAGATATAAAATTCGGTTTCCTTTGCCAGAACTATTTCAAAAAATGGAATTAATGAGATTAATAAAATTTAAATATTTTTATTGGTAGCTAAGAGTAAACAATTTGGTCAAAAACAAGACTATATATGAATTGTAAATGTAAAAAAAAATCTACTTAGAGATTCTTGAAGGAAGCTTTATAATATCTGAAAAATACTCACAAGCATTCTCTGCTCATTTATTCTATTAGACCCTCCATACTAATATGAGAACTTTTCAACTGCATTTTGAAGTAAATTTAATTTTCGAAAATTGCCAATTTTAAAGAAAACCAATTTTGATAGAACCTTTTATAGTCTACGTTTTTGTGTGGTTGTTTGTAGTTCAAATTACAATAATTGAGAGTTCGAGAAATTTTGATGTTTTAATATTAAAAACTATATGATCCAGAAAAAAATTAAATATTTTCAGATTATTTTAATTGACATATTTTTCTTGGGTCAATTATTTAAAATTACGTTATTAATTTATTTGTTCATTGATATTATTTGATTTTTTAAATTTATTTTAATTCAGTTTAATTTAATGCAACAATAAATTGCATGGCTGATGTTGGCGAGCACTCGCCTTTTAAGGCAGGATCCGTTGGTTCGATGCCTGTCATAAGAAATCTGATGAGGAGATGTGGTGATTTTTGAAACAGCTGTCACTTGTACCAATTTTTTTTGTTGTATAACAAAAAATATACAATTCATGTAAGTAAACCAGACCTTTTGATCACTAAAACAAAATTAATTTATTTACTTTTGTTTCAATTCAGTTATTTTATATATTTTTTTATTTTGTTTTCTTTTATTTTTAATTTTATATTTTATTTTAATTAATTTTATATAATATTATTTAGCTATATTTTTTATTATTGTTTCATTTCATAATTTTATTTTATTTTATTTTGTTTTATTTTATTTGTTTCATTTTGATTTATTTTTATTTTTGTTTCTATTTTTATGCAATACTCAGTTGTGGCTTGATTCGAGCGGTCAAATACTTGCCATAGAAAAAATCGAGGTGCTACTTCTAACGATGAAGCACATCCTCCTATATCCTGAGAACGACAAAACTTGTCAACTACTTAGGCATAGGGTTGGATCCTAGACTAAGGTACTGAGTTCAAATCCAACACGTCGCAGAAAACTGGTACCACCAGAACCACTTTGCAGACATTATTGGAGGACCGATCCAGAAAAATAGGAAGCTCTCTATGTCGACAGCTGTCAGCATTTTACTTTATGTAACACAGTTATGAGCTGACTCACTAAAGAAGGCCAGCCGACGAAAGTTACTATCCGATATGTATCGCACACAAGATTTGAGGGTAGCAACGTCACACCATAACGTATCAGGCAAGGCGGTAACCTTTTGGCGTTCGTAGTTAAAAGGAATTGGACTTTCAAAAGAACTGAGGAAACATCGTTAATACTACAAGAGAGGTCGTACGAAATGAAATTCTGAATTAAAAATCATTGGTCAGGTTAATAACACGTATCGACGTATGGATTAGCAGGAAATTCGGAGAGGTGAATTACTAGTTCCCACAGATGATATACGGGCACGAAATAGAAAGGCTGAGCCACGATTTATCTATAACGAGGCCAACGAAGATGACGCAGAAAACATATTGGACGATTCTCTTGTCGACTTGAAAACACTGTAGGATAACTAATAGTAGAAAATATTGTCTCAATTATCCTATACATGTGAAATAAACTGGCTAAACGTGAAGGATTTCGCAGGAAAAGTACTTTGAGCGAAAAAGCCTGACCTGGGCGCAGTTGGCGAGATGTAAATCTCATTTCGAGAAAAATAGAATGCCACACCTCTCCTTAGAGAAGTTCTTTTAGTGACCATCAGGTGGCACATACCATTAGTGTGACGACTCAATGACGCTGCGGTAGAAATTTTTCTTCTCCTCACTCGAAAAAAAAAATAAAATTTTATTTTATTTTTTTATTTTATTTTTTTTATAAATTGTATTGCTTTATTTATGCATTTTATTTATATTACTTTTTTTCATTATAATTTATTTTGTTAATTTTATTTCATTTTGTTATAATTTTTTTGCTTTATTTATGAATTTTATTTACTTTATTTTTTTTCATTTTATTTTATTTTGATACATTTTAACTTAATATAAAATAAAATGTGAATTTAATTTAAGTTAATTTAATACAAATTAATTTTATTTTAATTACTTTTATTTTTTTATTAATTTATACTTTTTCATTATACAATATTTTTATATTTTAGTTATGAATTATATTTTTTATTTATTTAAATTTGTTAATACTATAAGTTCGCATAATTTTCTCATTCATATAATTTAATTGATATTATTTTAAATTATTTAAATTAAATTTAATTTAATTTTATTAATATTTCGTTTTTCCATTATATAGGCAAGCGGGGCCATTTCTCTGCATTTACACTGTGAAAAACTGTAAAATATAACAGAAAAATACACCGCTTTTTACCAACAACAAGGAGACAAACTTCTCAGTATGCAACAGAAAATTATACAATAAACAAGCTTTACAGGTTGTAAAATTCTTTAAATGCCTGTGGGCTAATACTGATTTATACTCGTGTTTACACATATTATTTTTAATTCATATATGCTTGCCATGAAAAAGAAAAAAGTGAAAAAAGTGGAAAAAATTAATTTACCAACTTTTTACTTTGCCGCAGTAGGTTCAATATGGCACGGGCACACAAACAAACTCTACGTACATATACGCCCTGGTGTATGCCCCAACGGCTCATTAAGAGAGGCTGACTTTTAAACGCATTGTTGTTGGTTTGCATTTTGTTTACGAACAAACTTGACTTCTAGCTGAAAGGATTTTGTCAGTTTATTTAATAAATTTAAAAAATTTTAAAGAAAAAAGTTGGAATTAATTTTTGTTTCAACTTTTTTTTTGCGCTAAGTGCAGTGGGACATATGCTAACTATAACGGTTTAAGTATGGGTGAGTTAATTTAAATTTCAATGCTGGCCAGCTGCTGCCATATTTTTTGGGTAGAGACTTTAGTGGGCAGGTTTTTTTTTTAACTTTATTTGGTGTGTAGGTAGTTTAAAGTTTGTGAGTAAATTAATAATGTTTTAATAAAAATATTTATATATATATGTTTGTAGATAACAAATATTTGTTGTTAAATTATATATAAGATTTATGGAGCAAAGTAAATGAAAAAGTATCAAGTGCAAACTATATTCTCTTCAAAGCAAGTATCCATTACTTAATTTCAAAAATAATCACTAAAGTCAGCTTCAAAAGGTACACATGAACTTAAAATTTTAAATAACTTGATACTTAGTATTTCCATTAAATTATATTGGCTATCGCAATCACTTACAGCGCCGGCACTTCTAGGTAGAGTGGTGTAAGAAGATTGGAAAATATTTCGCAAAAAACTTAAATAAAAAAAGTTTTGCTTTCTGTTTGCTCAAAACACCTTTGATTAGCTGCGTGTGCATAGTAAATTAATTAATTTATTTTTTGACACTGAAGCCCGGATGTGCTGACTGCAGCACTGGCAGTGGGCTGTGTCGCTCTAAAAAAAAAAAGTTGGTAAATTCCCAAGCATTGCAGCTGCTTTCATTTACGCTCTTACACATACCCCGATGTGGCCTACATAACGGCCATGTATATGCCACCCTTGCTGCGTTGGTTTCATAGAGCTAAGTAAAAACATAAATATTTGCACATATAATTAGGCGCGTGGCAGCAGCAGTAGGTCAGCGTTGGGCTTCCGAGCACTGCTTACGAAATTTTGGCTAAAATTCAGATACTCATAAGCAGTTCAGACTTAGTTTTGCTTAATATATATATTTTTTTTTGTTATTGAAGTATTTTGGTTGCTCTAAAGGAAATCGCCTAAAAGTATACCTTAAAATTTTTTTTTACCGAAACACATATAATAGAATCTATATTTTTTCATTATAAACAGATACAGCTTACATGGCATGTTTTTAGTAAGAAATTTATTTAATTATTTTCGCTTTTGACATTTACACCTGTGTCTGTGTGTGCATAAGTTGAACTGACATCTCAAGTAAGCCGTCTCTAATTACCATATTAATTTCTACTAAAATGTTCACCTTTTAGCACTAAACAATGTTTGGATGCTCAGATTCTACAAATTTCCCTAAAATCCTGTCCTAAATTAACTATTTATTAAGCCCATATGCCACCGGCAAAATATTTGCTTGTTTGTTTTTTTATATTAATTAACTGAGCTCGAGTGTCTTTGTCAGTTACGAAACGTGTGTGGAAGTGATATGAGTGTGGGAGACTCAGTTTTGTGAAAACAATGAATTCGATATTATGTTTGCATTGTATTTATTGACTGAATTTCTTTGGAAAAATCAAGAGCTGCGTAGCAAGATTCGTAATTGGCATCGAATGTTGCCAAAAGCGTGTTATTTGATATGTCAGAGGGTTGAGTGACAGGCTTTTAGTATTTAATTTTACATTTACATTTTATTATCTAAAAAGAGATTCAACTTAAACTGAAAGAGTACAAAGAGTAAGGCACATTCCCTGTGGAATATCTTCATATCATAAATACTTCACTAAATAAAAGGTGATCCATTTCGATGTTCCCTACTTCTTTAAAGAAACAAACATAGAAAATTCAAATTCAATACGAAGTGTTTATTGTCATTCAAAAACGGATCCTTTGGCATTTTTTTTTGACGATTATCGCTACATCTGAGATGGTCCATTCATTGAGTTAAATTTTCGATGACTCGTTCGAGCATTTCGACTGGTAACTGGCGACTGACACGCATAATTCCTCCGCATAGACTTAAAACATTAAATATCCCCACAGGAAAAATTTTAACTGTTTGATATCACACGATCT